GCACCCCGCCTTCAGTGGAATACATTATACTTATGAGTATTGGGGATTTTTCAACTCCCTTCTTCTCATAGTGTGCATGCGTGCCAGCTAGATGCTCAGTACAAGTGTGGTCATATGGAAGTGAGAACCTGGTTATTCAGGTTACCTTGGAGCTTTCATGAGGTTCACTCCAGTTTCTCCTTCTCAGTTCGGGATAATTTAGGAGCAAAGGGAAGGTAGGTATAAGATGATACTGGAGAGAAGTGAACTTGTTGCTTTGCTCTGTAAGAACAAAAGAACAGGTTCACTTTAAGCACAGTTAACCAAATATGTGTTGTAGTGAAAGTTTCCAGTCTGTAATGTTAATATAGACTACTCACAGCCCAGAACAGGAGCCACGTAATCAGCACCATACATTTTCCATGTCATTTTGGATCACACTGCTTACCCTTAGCTTTCCAGTTTCAGTCGATTGCATGGGAATCGACAGACATTTATTGTAGCTTAAACAACTTTCCATGAAATGCATGAAAAGATCACTGAACCCAGAAAGATCTGAATGTTAGATTAATCCCTCAAGCTTTAAAGGGGAAAGGGGAAAGAGGAAGAGAAATTCAGCCGGGCGGTGATGAGTAGTACAGACAGATGCCTTTCATAGCTTTTTATTTAGCTTGTAAACAACCACCAAAAAACATTTCTCACAATAACAAGGAGACCGCAGTTACGTTGTTGTGAAGATTTAGAAAGGATTTGGCGTACTGCTCAGTTTCAGAGAGCACACATCTTTCATTCTCAGGAAGGGTTGAATAAGATGCTCTCTGATCTCTGAGAATCTCAGGCCAGCAACCCATTGCAGTGCCCATACAAGGCTGAGCTTTGCAAGCATTGTGTCCTCTTGGGCATCACTAACTTCACATGGAGGAGCAGGCATAGACAGCAGCAAGAGACAGCGTATTGCTGCACTGGCAGGTGATTGTAGCCAGTTGTACAAAGCAATGACAGGCTGACAGCAGCTGCAGCTGTCTGATGATCTTTGCATGTACATACATGTACCTGTGGTTGGGGACTGATATCCAAACCTGCGTCCACACAGATCTATTTATTTCAGGTACTTATATACCGCCGTCAATTTACGCAGCGCTTTACATATATATTGCACGTTCACATCAGTCCCTAACCCTCAATGGGCGTACAATCCAAGGTCCCTAACTTACATTCATAGATGCGTCCAGGGATGGACAATCTGTCCCTAACTGCAGGTAACCGCTGGATATGCAAATACCTGCAAACTGCAACAGCTTCTGTCAGACTGTCATTGCTTTGTATAGGCTACGCAGCTACAGCTGTCCACAACCACCTGTCAGCCAACTGTAGGAATACGCTGCCTCTAGCCATTGCCCATGCCTGTTCATCTGTGTGAATGAGGCCTTCCAAGGATTGGGTTTAGGGGACAATAATAAAAGCCTCAAGATGTTTGAAGGTGTCATTATTATGCATATGCCTCTTTTCTGTTGTATAGTATCGGGGTCAGCACACACCACTTGCTTCATATGAAAAAAAATGATTGTAGTTTGTGCTACAGATGTTCTATGTGAGGGAATGTCTTTATCTGATGTCACATATTGATATCGGTATTCCCAAAAAAGACAACAAAGGGCATGATCTATGAGTAATCGGTTTTACAAAGAAATGCCTGTTGCTTTAGAACAGGAAAAGATCTTCAAACCTCCTACATTAAAAACAAATTGCTCTCTGCCCCACCTGCTCCTTAGATTTGCATGCACACATCTCATGATTTCTTTCCCATTTGGATCCAAGTCGTACATTTGTTTTCAGTTTCCAAACATGAGAACTAATGAAGGATCCAAAAATGTTTTAACCGAGGGCTATTCTGTATGGATTTAAACCAATCTGCCAACTTTGTTCCGCTGAGAATCATTGCACTGACTTTGGGAATTTGGATGGAGCCTATGTTCCTCAGGCTGTACTGGAGCCTTTCTTACACTTGTCGGCTTGATGAAGAGAAGCACTCGAAGCCTTTACTCTTTCACCTCGTACACCTTCCCCAAAGCGGTTTTAAAAGGTATCCTGAGGTGCTTTATACTTCTCCAGTACTGATTGAATCCAGATGACACAGGCCCCCAAACACAGTCCCTTTGTTAACAAAAACAAAGCTCCGGTAATTGGATTCACATTTAGGGAGGCACTTAAAACAGTCCAATAACGAGAACAGTCTGCTGGGTTATGTCATAACTGCCAGAGATGGTGTTGTGTTGTTTTAAAAGAGCATAACAGACTGATTTTTACAAGCTTAGTCTGGTGGATTGCAGATGGAGATTAAATAATAATAACAATGCAGGATTCAGGCTCATAGTACACAAATTAGTACAGTGCCAAGCAGTGACAAATTGGACAGAACTGCCTTTCAGGAAATTTAAAGTGTAACTCGACGGGGTGTTGGAAAAAAACCCTTTATTTCAGTTACGTATTCATTCAGAATTAATATAAGAGCCCATTCACACTATTGTCTTGCAATATTTCATGGAAATAGTCCAACACCACCCCCCCCCCCCCCCACCACGCCCCTCCAACACACACACACACACACACATCCCCATCCATGCTATACAGGGTGGATGGAGGAATCTCCCACTGTGCCTTTTTATATTCTGGTGGCCACAGCTGGTGTCTTTCAGAATACCTGAACAGTAGCTGCATCTAATGGGATCCAGTTGCTGTTTGGCTGATAATTACCTGCTTCATTTTTTTTTAATTGAAGAAAGTAGAGCAGGAGGCAGAGAATTTCATTTAGTGTGACACAATTAACTTCAACATAGAAAAGGTCTTAATCAACTCCATTTTTCTTATCACATATATGGTGTTAGTTCATAGTTATTCTGTCGCAACAGTAAAAGTATTGAAAATAAGAAGACCGTGAATTTGTTGCACACAATAAAAATGTTGCTGTGGTTTGGCCCAAGTCTTCCAACTACATCCAAATGGCCAGAAATATTTAAAAAATGCCTTATGGAATTTGCCCCCCCCCCCCCCCCCCGTCCCCCAGTGTGTTGCAAAATATTTACAAAATGAATGGCACTGTGAAGCACCTAGGCATTGCAGCGCAATGCGCTGGTAAAAAAAAATGCTGCATGTCAGTTAAAATATGTGTTGCGTTGCTTTGGCAGCCTATATGAAATTAATGGGCTGCCTTAATGCAACACACATAAGGCGGTCTGAAAGGGCGGTATAGCCAATATAACCACCTGAACTGTATGGCTTTGCTACCGCCTCACGGTTCCTATACATCACAAGAAGTACCTGTGTTGAGGGCTTTTGTTTGCTTCTAGTTGGTTTTGTGTTCCCCACTTGAAGTAGAGCAGAAGGTGGTAATCTGCAGGTCTAATGCACCCGTCATGAAATTCTGAATGATCTCTGAAGTGTCTCAAACTGATGTCAGACAGATGACATCGACATACCCCACTTGAGGTTCTCCATTCGTGTGAAAACATGTTTTTGTACACTAGGCATTACTCAACTTCAGGCGCATACAGCCATTCACTTCTATAGCCCATTTTACGTCTTACCTGCTCCCTGGTTGCAGGAAAACATGTTTTTTTTACACTAGCCATATTTTATTCCCAATTTCGTCCGTGTGCATGTAGCCTAACATGTTTTTTGGTATTGGGAGCTGAAGGGGAAGGAATTTAGGTGGTTTACAGGAAACAAGAAATAAAGTTCTTCAACAGTGTGAAGATGGTCATTCATGGTTCACTGCAGTGTTTCTCAACCTGTTTCCAGTCACAGTGTCCTTGAAAAGTGTTTTCAGCCACAAGGCACCCCAGTTTACGGCTTGGTTCATATTACTGTGTGTCGGGGAACACGCGCAAAATTGTGCACGTTCTCAACATGAGGACAAATGCGCTGCTCTTTATCAATTGGAAAGGAGTGTCATTAATTCCTAATACTACCCCCACACATTGGCAAATGCAGCGCCAACCTTCCTCTCCACACCACAAACCCCCCTGTCCGCACACCTGCTGTACCCCACTCTCTGCTCAAGCCAACCCCCACTCTCCCTTCTGATCCCCTCTGTGCCCTGCTTTCCTCTAACCAAAGCCACAGGGGTTGAACGTTCTTCCGTTGCGGTCCACAAGGCTGTGGGTGGTGCTAGCCAAGTGCATCGAGTGTGGCCAGGCTTATAACAAGTGACATACAGTTAGCTGCAGGGTGTAACTTAGTATCGATGGCTGCTTGCAGAGTCAGAACCCAGGGCACTCCCCCTCCCTCTGCATGCAGCCTTGCACGCATACCTAGTATTGCCCTGTAGGGGGAGGTGGAGATCTCAGGATGCCGCCTCCCCCTTCTACAGGGCTTCACTGTACTGTCCTGACTGAGGTCCTGCTGTGCCGATGTACATTCGGTGGAGCGAAACTTCAGTCCAATCTGAGAGTCTTTCTCAACCGTGATGCCGCAGCAACCCTCAAGACCTCAGCTGGTCCAGTGAGTTACTTGTCAGAGGAACCTAGAGAGGAACAAAGGTGTTACCCCACTGACTACTGATATTGTGATTCTGTGCAGGCCAGTCAAGTTCCTCCACCCGAAACTCACTCATCCATGTCTTTATGGAGCCTGCTTTGTGCACTGGTGCGCATTCATGTTGGAACAGGAACGGGCCATCCCCAAACTGATCCCACAAAGTTGGAAGCATGAAATTGTCCAAAATGTCTTGGTATGCTGACACCTTGTGTTCCCTTCAGTGGAACTAAGGGGCCAAGCCCAACCCCTGAAAAACAACCCCTCACCATAACCCCCCGCCCACCAAACTTTACACTTGGCACAATGCAGTTAGGCAAGTACTGCTCTCCTGGCAACTGCCAAACCCAGACACGTCCATCGGATTTCCAGACAGAGAAGTGTGAGTCATCACTCCAGAGAACACGTCTCCACTGCTCTAGAGTCCAGTGTCGGCGTGCTTTACACCACTGCATTCGACGCTTTGCATTGTGCTTGGTAATGTAAGGCTTGGATGCAGCTGCTCGGCCATGGAAACCCATTCCATGAAGCTCTCTCCGCACTGCTGTTGTGCTAATCTGAAGGCCACACAAAGTTTGAAGGTGTTTAGCTATTGACTCTGCAGACAGTAGGCAACTTCTGCGCACTGTGCACTTCCACATGTGCTGACCCCGCTCTGTCATTTTACGTGGCCTACCACTTTGTGGCTGAGTTGCTGTGGTTTCTAGTTGCTTCCACTTTGTTATAATACCACTAACAGTTGACCGTGGAGTATTTAGTAGCAAGGAAATTTTACAGATGGACGTATTGCACAGGTAACTACCTATCACGGTACCACGATTGAATTCACTGAACTCCTGAGAGAGACCCATTCTGTCACAAATGTTTGTAGGAGAAGTCTGCATGCCTAGGTGCTTGATTTTTTACTCCGATGTCCATGGACGTGATTGGAACACCTGAATTTGGAGGGGTGTCCCAATACTTTTGGCAATATAGTATAAGCTTTTGTTATACATACACTGTTTTTGTTATATGTACAGCCAAAATGGAAAAAAAAATTAGCACAAGGGACATAATTTACAGTCAGATGTGTCCCTTGTGCTGATTCCTCTTCTGTTTGAGAAAATCTTCCTCCATCTTGTCCCCCAATACAGTAATCTTTGGGTGCAGCAGGGGTTAATACAACTAAGGCGCTGTCACAGGCTCTCATCAAGAGATTCTAACTATGCCTGTCCTTTCTGCCCAGCTCCACCATTCACAGTAGCCCTATTACAGCCTCTGTAAATGAAACACGATCTATGAATATAGGGGCGGAGCTATCATTCACTCATCCTCCATTCATAGATCATGTTCCATTCATAGAAGCTGTAGTATGGCTTCGATGAATGGAGCAGCTCATTGTTTCTTGTGCTTAATGCTTGTCTGCTGCAGTGCTTCTTTACATCCTGTATTAGCATTATAACCCAACATGTGTGTTGGCAGACATCCCTGATTTCCACTGGGCAGCCTATATCCCTGCAGTCTACTCTGAACGTTAACCGTGCAAGTCTTTCTCCTTTTACCTTTGTCACGAACAGCTTCCCACTCAACGGGTAAGTGAATTAGCCAAGACATTCTGGAAGCAGATTTGTGCCGGTTAGCCGTTTCGTTTCACTTGCCATATCTAGTGATTTGTAATGGGAGGATTAAGCCTTCTTCTGCCGGTTCTAGTTAGACTAGAAAAAGTCAGTCCCAACATATCACTCATTTTAAAACCTAATTTGTTGGGCTACAATATAAACTTCTCAGCTTCCAGTTGGCTTTGCCACCAGTTTTCCATTTGAGCAGACGCCCTGGACAAATCAGTTGGGGATCAGGCCTTTACTAAGTGTGCTGGAGCCTCCTGTAAGTGCTTAACCTCTCTCCTGCCGGAGCAGCAAAGGAGCTAAGGACAGCTAATAAATTCCAGTCTTGGCAGGAGATTTAAGTGAACAGATGGTCATTATGTGAAAGTGTTTCCAGCACTTGGACAAAGTCTGTTTCATGGAATTTAGCACTGAAAGGTGGGAACATTTTTAAAGCCCCCCTGTGCCTTGGCTATCTCAGGCTTTTCAGGGGTAACATTTACCCCCTGATAATTTGTAGGCAGTGGATTTGTTCTTTAAAGCTTATTTTGCAGACTCCACTAAAACCTTTTCTTACACGTATTTAGTGGATTTGTGCTTTGCTTTGCAGTTGGCAGCTGTGCAATTTTTTTATTATACATATTTGAAATATGTGCTTGGGGAGCCAGAAAAGGCACAGCCATTAGTATTGAAACACTATAGTTTGATGCTTCTTAAGCCCCTTAAGCTGCTCACTTTTATCCTTACTATTTGTTCCAGTCTACCACTTAAAGGCACAGTATTACTTGTGCATACTTCTTTTGTAGGAATATTGATTTTTAAGGTGGAATTGCTATTTGAGTAGTCTAATAAAGGAGAAGTGTGTGTCAGTTTGATATTTTTATTGACAGTATAAAATGTATTCAAAAACAGGTCTGAGTGCAGAGAGATGTGAATTTATATCCACATTAAGGACTTGAATGAACTAGGCACAACCGTCTTGGGCAGATGACATTCAAAGTTTGGAAACCTTAACCACTTCCAGTCCGGACACTTTTACCCCCTTCCTGTCCAGGGCAATTTTCAGCTTTCAGCGCTATCACACTTTGAATGACAATTGCGCGGTCATGCAACACTGTACCCATATGAATTCTTTACCATTTTTTTTAGACCGATAAAGCTTTATTTTGGTGGTATTTATTCACCGCTGGGACTTTTATTTTTTTTGCTATGTAAATGAAAAAGTCCAAAAAGTTTAAAAAAAATGTTTTTCTTATACAATTTTGCAAATAAATAATATTTCATCATAAATCTTGGCCAAAATTTATTCCGTTATCTTTTTAGTAAAAAAAAAAAAAATAAGCCAAATTAGTTTATAACCAAAAATTATAATTTTTAAACTTTTTTTTACGTTTTTATTTTTTTATATTATTATTTGTTTTTTTTTTCACATACTATCACCCTAGAAGTACAGTGTCATCATGGTGACACTATACTACTTGTGGGGGGTGATGAAGATTTTTTTTTTTTTTACACTGATTGCTTTTTCACCCATATAGGATGTAAAAGCAATCATTTCTCTTTCTCTCTGTCTGCATTCTTGCAGCCTTGTGAGCTGTGATTGGTCACAGCTTGTTACATGGTTCAAGGCTATTGTGAATAGCCTTGTACCATGTGACCTCTGTGATCATTCACAGATTTCACACATAGTAAGCAATGATGTAACAGGTGACATATTGCTTACTACTTTGCATGTGATCACTGATTGGCCAATCCGTGATCACATGATCAGGACCGCGTACAGAGGTCCCGTCCGACGATCAGTGTTTCACTGTGTCCGTAGGACACAGCAGGCACCGGATCGCGGTGCTACGTGCTCCCAGGGAGTGCGCACAAGTAGGGTGCAGGGAGGCAGTTTATAAACAGCCACCCGATCTTGCAGTGCCACCGTCTGGCTGTTTATATACAACGGCCGGACAGGAGGTGGTTAAGGACAAATCCTTGTCCTGATGAGGGACAATGAACTTGCATCATATTACACATGATGTCAAATTATTTAACCTAGTAATTTTCAACAGTTACTCCCATGAGGTAGCTGCCCATATTAATATGGATCCCTTAGCATGGTAATCTGCTGAAACAGGCTTTGTGGTTTCAAAACATTCTTTGGCTTTTTCAAAAAATAAGCCTAAAACAAGTAGTAGGGTAAAAGGTGACTCATTAGATCATATTACTTCCATAAATTCAAATCATCTGGGAATAGCAGTCCTGTTATATATTCCAGTTTTATGAGTGTCAAAGCATACATTTTTTGATTGACTTTGCTTCAAAGGTCCTTGTTGAATTTTGTTTTCTTTTTGGAGTGCTGCCCCTTTATGGTATTTAGTAACTGAATAGTTAAGTGTTTGTTTCTCCCTGTCTTGATGAGCTTTGACTTGTAATCACTCTTGATTGTTGCTGATATTTTTCTGATGTATCATTTCATCAGATGTGAAATACAGTATGAATGATGCAGTTCTCTCTATGGTGTGTTCTTGTTTTAATCCAGAGCACTAAGGGTAATTTCTGTCTGCTACCTCCTTCCTCTGTTATCTGCATGAATCACTTCTGACAAGTTTTTCCTGACACTAAGAGAAAAATGGTGACAGGGGAAGACACGCCTGTGATTGACAGCCTAAACTCTGTTCCTGTGTGCTGTGTGAAGGGGGGAGTGTCCTTTCCCTCCAATCAGCTCTCAGAGCTCTCCTCACTGATGTAACTTCAGCTCCCCGCCCTCTGCTTTGTTAGCGCTGAGAGATCCTGTGTAAGTTCTGCACTTTGAATGGATGTAGGGAAAAGACAGCTGTAGATAAACAGATACAGTCTATGTAGGAGAATCTGTTTCATCTCTGTGTATCACCTGAGGCCAGTCACTACACTGGGTATAGGTAAGGGTTTACACTTTATTTAAATTTTTTTTAAATTGCCGCACAGTGGAGTTTTACCACCATTTTGCTTCTTTGGAACAGTGTCATTTTTACATATAGTGCTTTGAAAACTTCTATAAGATAGTGATAATTGACACACCTCCTTTATAAGCAATAACATGTCACAAATTGGCAGCCAGCCTAATAACAAAGTGTTAATTGACATACTTTCTTTACTGCAGGCATACACTGCTAATTGGCAGGCAACCTAACATGGCTCACCTTTACAGTTGTCTTTTTGATTGAATTAGTTTAGTTAATGCCTTCCCACACACCTGTAGTGCTGTCCAGGCTCTATGGAAACATATATACACTAAATGAAAAGTGCATTTTAGTTGTCAGGCATGTAGGTAGTCATCCATGTAACTTACAGGAAGATGAATGGGATATGCTTTGCCTCTATCAACACCCCCCATCACTCCCCCCAATGCGTTCCGTGAGATGCCACGGCTCCCACTGGCAGCTCTGCCTGGCTGCAGACATCCTTACAACAATACCACCGGCTTCTCTGATTACTTGTCAAAAACTAAAATTCAATTATGAAATGCAGGCAGGCTTTGCTGTGACACAGAGGGTTAGAAATTAATGTTAACACTGTTTCTGGTTAAGACTTTTTGTGTTTATAAATAATTCATAAGGCAGTTAGCTCTTTGAATCTTGACAACACAAGAATATATTAATACAGTAGACACTGTGAAAGGTCAGCGGCGTACAGTGAAGCATCACAGGCATCTTTTATTCATTTTCTGACACAGACTCATTAATTATTAGCACATTTGAAGGTCTACATGGGAAATGTGCTAATGAGAAAAAGAATATTGCATTCAAAATCTGACAGTCGCCTCTGTGAGAGCTTAAACAAAAATCAGATTCTCATTATCTCTCAGGTACTCTTTAAAGCTGATTTGTGATCAGAGTAGCCATATTTTTTCATGGGGTGGCAGGTGGCTGAGGAAGAAGGAATATGTCGTGTCGCGGTGTGCCCGAATAGACTTACACAGCTGTTTTCTTGCTATTCCCAGGTCATTCTTCTGAATGCATTGACGTATTGATTACCGGCTTAGCAGGTTTGTAAAACCTACAGGTAAATCGTTAGACTGGCATTCATGACGTTAAAACCATGTTCCCGTTGGCCTCAGATAGGAAGACTTTTGAAGATTATTGATGTAGCATCGAACAAATGGTAAGGATGAGGGTGGAAGCTGATCACATGACCTTTGAGTTTTACGTGTGTTGACAGCCAGTGGTATATTGGAGGGAATGGCGTCTCTTTCAGGTCATGTTGATTCATGGTTGGGGCTTTATTTTGTGCTTTTTTTGGTTTGAATTTGGAGCATATAGTCAGCAGTCCTGTTT